GGGAATTTATTGTGTACTGTTTACTCCACTGTAAATAAACGCACTGTTTGCATCGCAGAGTCCTGCATCTTGGGTCCTCTTTCCCCACACACCATTTATGCAGTTAACGTTTTGGTGCTCTTATTTTGAAAGTCAAGCTCGCTTACCAGTTGCGCTAGTTTCCTCTTTGGGTAGAAAGAAGGAGAAAACACCTGTAAGCATGCAGCAAAAATGGTCTTTATTGAAAGTCATGTTAAGTGGACTTTAACTACAGATGGTTAAAGGAAACCTCAGAAGAACGGCGGCTTATTCGCTTTTTGCAGCATGCAGCCAGCGAGATATTTATTGATTTATCGTGTTTGTTGTACGGTGTTATTTTTGGTGCTGTGTCTTACGTTGAGTTTTATTTTGTTAATGCTGTATAGTTTTTATGGTGGCTTTGGAGAGAAGTCTTCAAATAAATCAGTGACAGAAAACCACTTGCGTCTGCCTGTGCTTCGAGGGAATTATATCTGGACTGCAAGACAATTTCATATGTCAGTTATTAATGGCCAGTCTATATGTTGGAGCCGGATTTTCAGCCCTCCTAAGAATCCATGCGGGCAGAGGTGGGACTTGCGGCCAATCGTTTTATCATGAAAGAAGGAAGGGGGGCAGTTGTTCCGAAGACAGAAAGTGTATTGGTTTTTTTTTTTGTTGTTGTTGTTTTTTCCCCAAAATAACCTCTGACAATAAGGCCTAATTTCTGACATTCAGTACCGAAGTAATTTAAGCTTTCACAAATTATGCCAAATTCCAAAACTCTTAGCTATGTCTCTAAAAAACCAATCTGTAACTTTGTGAAAAACAGAAACTTTTCTGTTTTTCACTTTCTAATTTCTGTTTCTCTTTTTCACAATTTAAGTCCAAAGAGTCATGCTGACAGAATTCTTTCTTTGTCACAACAGTTTTCTCTTTATCGTGTAGAAAAACAGTTAAATATGTAACTGGAGTGTAAAGAAGTTTTACTGGCCCACAATGTAAAATGAGTTTGACATCCCTGCTTCAGAAGGACTCATCAAGAGTGCATTAATTTGCATAATGATGATCCAAACTCATTAGCCAAGAATATGTTTATTACGCTATACTTTCATTTTTCAAATTAAAAATGTGTTAATGAGTCATATGAGATCAGTAATTAATTATTATGTTTACATACAGCAAATGATTAACACTGAAATATGAAATACCTTTTTCATATAATACAACACAAAGCTGAAAAATCTTTTAATTTTCTTTCTGAATAAAGCAAGTCACATTTCTCAGGGTTTTATAAGCAAGCTAAGTATTGAAATATATCCACCGAATTTCATACATTTTTACAATACATGATGCCATGAAAGTTCTTTTCACCTAGCAAAAAAATTCTAAACAATCATTGTGAAATGTTTGCAGAAATTTAAACTCACACAAGTTACAACATAGATGAGCCAAGGTGTAGATTTGGCATGGATGGAAGGGACATGTCCCCACCAATATCCAGCAGTTACTGAATTGTACCCACCAATAATTTGATCTCTTCGAGTAAAGAAAAACAAAACCGACAGAAAGAAAAAAATCGATCTGTCAACATCTCATTCACCTAGCAGTGCAGAAAGAGTTAAATTACTTCTCTACTGGAGTCCTACATCATGTGACAAATATGGCCAATTTGATTGGCTGTGCCTTTCAGGGAGCTCTGTTTAGTTTTGGCAGTGGCAAGCCTGCGCTGCCAGGACCTGCAAGGAGGAGAGGAGGATGGCAGCAAAGATAAATTTTTCAAAGAAACCTGTAAGTCACTTGAAGCCAAGTTAACTCATAATATGTGTCCATCATAATAACGTTACAGGCTATGCTAGGCTTTGGCCCACATTAGTCTAAAATTGTATGTAACCAATAATAACGTGTTTTGGAAACTAACTGCACAACATGCAGCACTATTAGTTATCTCAGTCT